GCTCAAACAATCCTCCCGCCTCGGCCTCCCAGAGAGCTAGGATTACAGGTGTGAGCCACCGCGCCAGCCCCTAACCCAATTTTTTGATCAAAGTTAATTGTACTTCCTTTTAATCTTTTTTACAAAATGTAGTTTTAAGTGTTGTTAGCGTTTTACAGAGGAGCAGGTATATTTTTTAGTAATGCAAACTAAATCTTACTATATTTGATGAGCATTTTATAGAGTATCACATTACACTTTTAAGGATTTATCTGTTTGTTTTAGAGAATTATTTTCATAGCAGTTTACCCTTGTATTAGTTTCCTATTGCTGCCGTAACAAATGACCACACATTAGTGGCTGACGACAACGCAGATTGGTTACCTTACAATTCTGTATGTCCAACACGGGTCTCACTAGGCTAAAATCAAGACGTCAACAGGGCTACATTTCTTTCTGGAGGCCTTACCTTTTCTAGCTGTCAGAAGCTGCCTGTGTTCCTTCCCTCATGGCCTCTTCCTCCATTTCCAAAGCCAGCAACGGTAGGTTGTTCAGTCCTTCTCACGTCTCATCACGCTGACCTTCTCTTGTGGTTCCTTCTTCCTCTTTGAGGACCCTTGTGATTTCTTTGGCACTACCTGAATGATCCAGGATAATCTTCTCATCTCAAGGTCAGAATCACAACTGCAAAGTTTCTTTTGCCATGCAAGGTAACATATTCCTGAGTTCAGTGGGTTAGAATGTGGACATTTTAGGGGGAGCCATTATTCTGTCTGCCAGAAACCATTGTCTCTTCCCCACCATTTGCCAAAGGCATGGTCTTTAAGGGTAGGAAAGCTGATTAATCAATCATGAATGAATATCATTTGCGGGGGTCTTTAACCTATAGGGGTACTTTTTTTGTCCATTCAGCTCTTGGGTAGAACATTATGTAAGTCAGTGAAGTCACATTGTTTCCTTTAATTCTTGCTTTTAGGGCAGTGTAGTTTCGACCATGAATTTTTGTTTTCCTGTCATAGGTGATCACAACTCTGTATCGCTTTCAAGCTCTGATCTCACATTCTGTCCATTGGTTAGATGTTTGTTGATCTGGACTCATTGTTAACAGTTACTTAAAATTAACTTATGTTTTTTATCTGTTTATTTATCTTCAGAATTTAGTAGAGGATGTTTTGCATTGATTCACAATTTAATTTATGTCTGGTCTTAATACATTGTGTTGGATTGTATTTTGGGTTTGTACTTGAAAGATTGTCCAGTTGGCTGACTTTGGACTAACATGAACTTCATGATTTAAAATAAATACCACAGTTCCCGCGTACCTTGGACTCTCCTAGGTATTCTGAAGAGCCTTTAGTTTCCAAAAGTTAACTTTCATCACTGCTCTATTTCAGCATGACCAAATTAATGATTTCTGTGCTGCTTTCTAGTCTGTTTTTCTGTTTATGTGGAGTTTTATAATGGTTTCATGAAGATTTCATTACAAGATTAATTTTCCTCAAATGATCAATGAACATTTGGCCCGTTCAGTGTGAAAATAACTGGCTCAGAATTTAAGTTCTGATAAAATATATTAAACAAAATAAAAATTTTCCAGATGTGAAAGTTGGGGGCAAATACAAATAGAGCACAGTGCTTAATTTTTTATGTGTGGTGACAAACATAGAGAACAAACTAATCATATTTGAAGAAATAAGAAGCAATTTAGATTTGTGATGTGGGAATATTTAGACTAAGTTTATCATCAATAATGAGTAGTGCTTTACTTCATTGTAATATTTAATTTTTATTTAGCATTACTGGAGTGAAGAACTATGTTAAGCAATGCAAGGAATATCAAAATAAGTAATAAAGATTCCTGCCTTTCAAGTAGCTTATAATTGAGTAGCAAGGATAAGACAAGGACCCATCCTTGTATATAAGATACAAGGATCTTGTATACAGCAGAATATGGTAAATATTATAATGAAAGAAAATCCTTGTGGGGGGGAGAGTGGTTGGTTCCCAGAATGGTGAGATCACATCTCATTGAGAGATTAGGCAAGGTGACCAGAGAGGGATGGCAGTGGAGACTAGCTTTTCCTAAAGCATCAGCTATGACAAACCAAAGCAAAACACGAAGAGGGTGTGGTAAGAGAGGATGTTTTATATGTAAAAAATAACCAGTCCCATTTAATTGACATTTTGTGGACCTGTATAAGGCATCTAGGAGAGACGGCTGAAAGAACAAGCTGGGGTCCTACTGTGGAGGGGCTTAAGTGTTAGACTCACAGTTTAGAATTATGGAAGGAATAGAGAGAAAAGAAGATCTAATCTTCAATAACAACAAAAAAGAAAATGTGAATGAGTTATAAGTGGATTTTTTTTGAGATGGGGTCTCACTGTGTTGCCCAGTCTAGTCTCAAACTCTGGGACTCAAACAGTCCTCCTGCCTCAGCTTCCTAAGCATAAGTGGATTTTTTTTTTTTTTTGAGACAGAGTCTGGCTCTGTTGCCCTGGCTAGAGTGCCGTGGCATCAGCCTAGCTCACAACAACCTCAAACTCCAGGGCTCAAGCGATCCTTCTGCCTCAGCCTCCCGAGTAGCTGGGACTACAGGCATGTGCCACCATGCCCGGCTAATTTTTTCTATATATATATGTATATTTTTAGTTGTCCAGATCATTTCTTTCTATTTTTTAGTAGAGACCGGGTCTCGCTCTTGCTCAGGCTGGTCTCAAACTCCTGACCTTGAGCGATCCGCCCGCCTCAGCCTCCCAGAGTGCTAGGATTATAGGCGTGAGCCACCGCGCCTGGCCCATAAGTGGATTTTAAAGAAAAGAATTTAAGGTAAATTTCTAAGGGCAGCAGATGCTGTTACTATGTTCAGTTTGTCATACTGAGGGAAGTGCAGTCTAACAGGTTCCCAAGTGCTGCTAATGCTTCTTGCCTAAGACTGCATTTGAGTAGCCAGCGTGGACCAGAAAGAACATCATGTCATCCAGGAGGGAGCTTGTTAAAAATGCAGAGTGTAGGCCCAGCTTCAAATCCACTGGATCAGAGCTTTCTGTTTAGCAAGATCCCCAAATGATTTGTATGCACATTAAAGTTTAGAAAATGCTTTCAGTTTTGGCCTGGAAATCATGATTTATTTCCTGAGAAAACACTTGTCTTGAATTCGAAATGGGGGCTAGCCTTTTTGTATTTTGAGGGAGCTCATTTTCTACTAAATGTTTGTGTTGAGGGTGTAGAATTGTAGAGTATGATAAGAAATGCACAACAAAAACAGTTTAGACACCCAGAAGGGTTATTATAGTAGTACAGCTCGAGATTTGCCAGATGCTCTAGTAACTCCTTTGAGTGAGAAGTAATAAGTTTTCACATACATGTTTCCTAAATCCTCTCTTAGGAAGACACTACACAATTTTATATCTGTCCATTGCAGAACTCAGAAGAGCCAATATTTCACGTGATTTTCAACAAAATGCAGAACAGAGTCACATGTTACATTGCTTGGGACAGGATTTGAATAAAGCTTTTAAAAACCTACTTAGCTGAACATAAATGTAAGGATCGATTTCTTACAGTACCTGGGCTGTTGTTCACATTTAATGACAGTGTATCTCCCACAAACTCTTGGTGTCCTAGAAAAATCCCAGATACGATTTGAGTTTTGCTCAACATTATAAAGTCTTTTGAATATACTATAAGCATGGATATTTGATATGTTCATTATTTGGGATTATGAGATTATTAATTTAAAAACACTTATAAAGAGCAGATTATATGCAAGGGATTGCTGTGGGTTACGAAGATACTATTTATTTCTTGACTTTTAGATTTTCCCTTACAGCCTCTCGCATCCCTCTGCTGGCTCTTTCCTCTGGTTCCTCCTTCCCCCTTGGCTTAACAGATAGTTTTCTCTAGTATCTCATTCTGTCTTGTTTTTTTCTTTTGTCTTTACACATTTTCCCTGGGAGGTCACATGTATGCCTATGACTTCACCTACTGTCAATTTGTATACTAAAGACCACCCACATCGAAATTCATAATCTAGATCTTTCTCTCTCACTGGACTGACAGACAGTACAGTGTCGAGGGTCAGGGCACAGACTCTGGAGCCAGACTGCCAGGGTTTGGGATCTCAACTACAAAACAACTAGCTGTGGAATCTTGGAGACCTTATTTAATTTCTCTATCAGCGGTTTCCCCATCAGTAAGGTGGACGTGGCAGTGGTTGCTTTCTCAGAGGATTAGGTGAAGATTAGTGAGTTAATATTTGTA